AAATCTACTTGGCCTCAAGTATAGTTAAGAAAGCACATCATTAAAACTTTATCTCTTTCCCCTAATAATGTTGAAGCACTCAGGAAATATTACATTCAGCCTTTTTGGCTAGGTTTATCGATTGCAAGGGATACCATCTCCTCTTGCAAGTGAGGAAAAGAGTCATAAACAAGTGGCCTTACCCAAGGGCATCCCAGTCACAATCAAAGTGAGAGCTGAAGCCACCTCCAAAAATTTACACAATGAAAATGAATGTTCTAGAATCGCCATCTGACAGGAATTTTGCTCATAGCCTGCCATACCCTGGGCTATATCCTAACCTTGATAATAACCATTATCATAGACTGATGGAATTTGAAAGAAAAAGGTTCTTCAGTTCACCCAGTTCAACTCCTCACTTTGCAGACAAAAAAACAAAGGCCAGGAAGGTGAAAGCACCTGCACCTGCCAAGGACGGCCACTAGTTGTTGGTGAAGCCAGAACTGGAATCCAAGTGTCCAGACTCCCAGGAGAAAAGTCTTTCCACCATGTCCACACTCGAAAAACTGTGTGCTAAATGCTGAAGAGTTCTGAGCTCCCACCACTTGCCCCATTCGGTGGCGGTGGGTGAACTCATTTCTTTGGCCTTCAGCCTGAGAGGAAACAACAGCTCGGCTATGGCTCTAGACACTAACAAGAATAGGAAGTCCCAAGATCCAAGCTCAAGAATTTATTTATCCTGGTTGTTCCAGGAACTCACTTGGCAATCTAGCCAGTGCTTAATAACTATTAAAGTAATTTTATGTACTTATTCCTCTCAACTCTACCTGAATGTGTGTTTTAACTGGGAAAAAAAGGACCAGTTCTCTCAGTATGAGTCCTGAGGACAAATAGGCGACAACTCTGTGAAAGGAGTGGGCCTCCAGGTTCGAGGCACAGTGAGTGCCATGGCTTGCAGCTGGACGAGCAGCTATAGCCAGAGGCACTCACCTGGTAGAATGAGAATAACTCGGGTAGGGTAAAATCATTGAGAACCTTACCTTTGGTTTAAGGAGCTCAGACTTAGGAGTAGCATATTAAAAGTTCTGAGCAGGGCTGTAACACAAATTAAAGATGTATTTTGTTTGTTTGTTTAATTTTATTGTTAGTTTCAAGTATGCAGTACATTAGTTAGACATTTGGTTTATGAAATGATCCCCAATTGCTCGTTCTCTCCTCTGGCTCGACACACAGCCGTTACATTAAAGCTGTCTGCATTCCCTATGCCATGCTCCCCATCCTATGACCATCTATCAACTGTTAATTTATACTGCTTTAACCCTTCGCCCTTCCTTCCAGCCCCCCAACCCTCTCCCCTCTGGCTGTCACCAAATTGTCCACTATATTTGCGAGTCCGTTTTTGATTAGTTTGTTCTTTTTTTCCTTAGATTCTGTATATAAGTTAAATCATATGGTATTTATCTTTCTCTGACTTATTTCACTCAGCATAATAACCTCTAAGTCCATCCATGTAATTGTTAATGGTAGGATTTCTTTTTTTTAATGCCTGAGTAATATTCCATTGTATATATGGACCATAACGTCTTCATCCAATCGTTTCTTGATGGGCATTTAGGTTGCTTCCGTATCTTGGCTATTGTAGATTGTGCTGCCACGAACACAGGGGTGCATAGATCTTTATGAATTATTGTTTTGGTTTTCTAAAGATATGTTTTAAAATGAGTCAGTCAGTAGCATGTGTTACAGACGGGCAGGGAGAGAGTGTAGTGGGAGAGACCAACGAGGAGACTGTATGGCAGTCCATGAAGAAATGTTTTAGGGTGTCTCTCCACTTCACTTCTTAATTCGTGAGCCGAAAATGGAAACTGCACACGATCACCGCAGCCTCCCTGCTCCTGCTCCAGGATGCACCGGCTTCTGCTCCAACCTTTTGTAAACAATAATATAAATAGAGCCACTTTAAAGTGGAGTCGGAGCTGCCATCCCGGAGGAACTGCCTTGTATGTCTTATATCTCAAATCTTTGGAATGCTAAAACAGGGCAAAATAACCTTTGGACTGGGACTAAAGGAACTTTGTGCCCCAGAAAACCATTTACAGAGATAATAAGAAAGCAGTTATTATGATTACCAGACTGATGACTACCAGATTGAAAATTAAATTGTTTTAGAATTCATGCCACTATGTTAGCTTATCTTCATGGACAGAAATGCCTTCCTCCTATTATGTAATTGTTCCGTTCCCTTTCTCATAAACACGCATTGCCTTTGTCTCCTAATCTGAACATGATTTGAGCTTCTGCCCCAATCAGTGTGTCAAACAAAAACTCTTAGACACATTAAACATTTTAGTGGTTACCAGAGGGGAAGCGGGGAAAGGGAGAGGTAATAAGGGTAAAAGGGGTTAAAATATGGTGACAGAATATTTGACTTTGGGTGGCGAACATGCAATGCAATATATAGATGAGGTATTGTCAAATTATACACTTGAAACCTATATAATTTTATTAACCAAAGTCATCCCAATACATTTAATTTTAAAAAAAAGGCCTACCACAGGCTCCATGCTGCTTTTCCAACGACGGTACCTTCTTTCTTTCGTTCATGGCAGAAGGCTTCAGGCCCTGACTCCCCTTTTTCCTTTCATCCGTAGCATTCCCTTCAGAGCTGCCACCAGCCTGCTCTCCAGCCGCCCGCTGAGTCCATGGCTTCCTATGTTCTGACATCACAACCAGTGGCACCTGCCACCTCACAATTCCAAGGACTTATTCGTGAGTTATGTTCCATTTTTCTAAATCCATTTGGCTCTCCCTCTACAATATTCATCAGATCTGGCTCCTTTATTTTCCTTCCTTGTCTCAGGCTGAACATCCGGCTTAACCACTTTGCGGTTGCTTGGCCAGTTTCTCCACCGCTAACCTAGTTCTGTCGTCCCGTTCATCTGACACTGCGAATCTCCCTCAGATGTCATTTTAATCATATTACTAAGCCTTAAAGCTACACTTGCTTCTTCCTAATTGCTTGTTTCAAATTAAAGCTCTTACTAATAGGATGGGAGAGTTGGAAGGAACATCAGAGATACTTCAAACATTATTTTACAGATAACAAAACTGAGACTCACAGAGATTTATATGTTTTTTCACGGTTATCTTAGGCTTTCAGGCACCACATTCTTTCTAAATTGCTCTTTCCAACTTACAATTCAAACAAAATCCTACCCTCTTGTGCCAAATCCATTCTTATATCCTTCTCATCCACAACACAGTATTCTTTAAAAACTGTTCGTTTCATTTTCTAAAACCTGTCATGCTGAGCCTGCCTGATGACATGAGTCATTCCAGGAAGCTTAATGGTTGGGCAGTTTGGTTCTCATTAACTACAACAGAGCAGGACATAGGAACTCCTGCAGGGCCAGGCAGCCCACCTGGACCACGACTCCACTAAAGCTACTTCCTCCTTCCTGCCTCTGCACAGAGGCATCTAGTTATGGGCAGTGAGTGAGACAACGCTAAGATCTGCTCTCTTGTACACACACGTATACACATATACACATATAGAGGCATATAGTGAATAATGTGTATATTGCATTTTAATATAGAAAAGACAAAAATTTGTATATCAGGTATAGGAATTCTACTATGTTCATTTTTCTTAAGTTCATGTCACCCAAAATGGATATGTACATAGCATGTCACCCAATGGATATGTACATAGCATGATCATACTTTATCTTCCCTGTTCTCTGAAGTCTTTTCTCCCTCCTTTTTAATGTCATTCTTTCAAAATTTCCACCTATCCTTGAATTTTATCCTTGATAGAATGTAGCTGTCATCTCTATTACCATCCATTTCTCCCCCAAATTCCCCTACTTTGAAAGTTCTGCTCAGGGAATGTCTGGAGTGGTATCATCAATGATTTGGTAAAAGGACAAGACTAAATGTGGCAGCAGAATTTTGCTGGAGGTAGGTGAGAAGAGGGGGGGCCAGTTAGCCAGGGCAGGGGTCGGGGAGCTAGGAGTGCTATGCCATAAACGACGATGGGCCACTCAAGTAGATAGGTCATGCACAGGCCAGAGTCCAGTTTGCGGGGAGCATCCAGGAACACCTGCCAGTTTGTCAGTTACCAGAATGGAGAAAAGTTGCCAATTTGCCATCATTTATTTTGTGCATGTTTAAGGACCACCAAAAGGAGGGAAAACGGTAAGTAAATACCAGTAAAGACTAGGGAACAGGAGATAAAGGGTGACTCATCTTTGAGACACCTGAGGCGTGGGAGAGTGCCGTTTCCACTTACTGAGAGGGACTCTGGGTGCTTGTCATTTCACCTGTGGCCCATCTCCACTGACAGCTGGTACTGCTATTTTAGTTTTGAAATTCAGCTGTTCCTTTGCCAGTCTTCGCACAACATTTCGGCATGCTCTGAAGCATGACTCATGCTACTCTCCAAAGGCCAAGCCACTTCAGGATTCTGTACAATTAGTGCTCTGCTTCCTGACCTACTGGATATTCTCGGACCAAGACGCAGCATTAAGACCGCAGACAATTTGAGAAGGCAGGAATTCCAGCCAAGACATTTGGCAAAAACCACTAGAGACCACATGAGAGGTCTCAGGGACGAAGGAAAGGAGATTAAAAACATAACTGCCAAAGTTTTACTTAATCTAAAAGAGCCTATTGATTAGATAGCACCATTCCTTCCACTGACAAACATGACTAAAATGTGTGCTATGAGTACGGTTTGCTACAAGGCCGGGGCCTCAGGAAGAGAAGGGTGGGAAGGGAGCAAACAAGCTCTCGAGCATCTTAAAGGGTAAATAATAACTTTAGAATTCAGGTGCTATAAGTGATGATTTGATTTCAGAAAAGTAATTTTTTATCATCAATCTATTCATTCATTACTATTGAAGTGTACACCTTGCAGACTCAAACTTTTGCACTAAATAATTGTGATTTCATTTTTTTCACAACTTACAAAGCTTTGCACCACATTAGTGTTCTTACACAAGAAAATCTCAAGACTTTCATTGGGGGGAGAGGGATATTTATTTTACATACATTATTAATATTATTAATATTAAGTAAAATTGTCATGACAAAGTAATGCCAACCTTGTATAACATGCAGATTATTGCTTAGAACTTGCATATACTTTAATATGGCACACATACAAATAAAGTATACAAACATTTAAAATATTAAGGGAACTACCTAAAGATGTTTATTAATCCTTCCACATGAAGCACAACCAGAAACCAAAATAAAGAATACTGATGCTATTTTAGTTGCCAATGAATCTGAATAACACTGATTTGTAAACTACCAAGGCTCACATTTCATAAAGAAAACAAAATTTTTCAGCCTTCTGGAAATAAATTAGAAGGTATGTTCTCAAAATGTTAAATGTATTTTGAAAAATTTCCAAAATCTTTATGATGATTAATTATGAATGTTACATATTCTCGGGAAAAAAATTATGTATATATCACTCTAGCTATTGAATTTACTGCAGTTTTAAGTAACTTTTTCAAATTAAACCTATGTCTAAAATTTATTACTATAAACTCTAATTACCAAAAAATCTCATAACTCATCCTAGTTACAAGTTAGAGTATTATCTATGCAAAAATTTCTTTAAAAGTAGACATAATCATAGTAGAAGCCAACCAAGCAAGAAATGAAAATATATACATTTACAGTTATATTTTTAGGCTTCATTAACCATAAAGTAGCAAATACCTTACTGCACACTTAATTACAGAATTACATAAAGATATAAAGAAATAAATATACAGATGATATTAACGAGTTTTCAGCCAGAGGTATTATATCTTTGAGATTTAGAAATATTTCTCATTGTTTTTGGTCTAAATATAGGGCCTGATATCAAAACTGTCTACTCCTCTGAGGAGATGGTGTAAACGTTTTCAGTGCAGACACAGCAATCTTTAGCAGCTGTCTTCAGCTCTTCACTACTATCCAAAATATCTTCCAGTAAAGGGATGACTTACTGTCAAAGCCAGTAGAGGCAGTTTGAGGTCTGGGCTAGAAAGGCTGGGACTTAAGTCCATGGGTGTCATACTTCGGAAAACACCCTGAGTAAGCCATTTGCTGGCAAGCTTGTTTTTAAAAGAAACGTGACCATAACTAAGTTGACTTGATTAAAGAGCAGGGCTCACTAACGCTGCTGCAGACCAGGACGCCTCCTCATAATATCCTAACACAGAGCTGCCTGTTCCTCCTCCTGCCGTGGGGTCTAAGGAAGAACATTCAGGTAATTTACACACCTATAATGAATCCCCAGCTGAAACATGTTATAAAGCTCTTATTGCTAAACTAGTTAAAGAAAAAAGAAACTACAGATGTTTCTCAATAAAACCAAAACATGATTAGCTTTGCTTCATGTTGTAAACAAGTATTATTAAATGCTAAATGGCTTCCTATCGCCTCTTAATAAACTATGGTTTCATCGCTAAACTTACTTCAATGCTTTTATCAATGAAAGAACATACTTGTAAACTTTTGAATTTGCCACAATAGACAGAGAAGCTTACAGGTATGGGGAGGCCTCAAGACTTGACATAGAAAGGTGCTGGCATAAGGGAGGGAGCTGCTGATGACGTGTTTGTAGTGTTAAGAGGAACAGATAGAAGGACCAGAAGGACTCAGAGGGATAACTTCTAGGTTGAGGAAGGTGCATCATGGCTTTTAAGGGAAAATCAGTCCTCGTGTCTCCTCCAACTCCAGGTCCTGCTGGCTTTTCACTGTTCTCACACATATCACATGCGTTTTGTGTCAGAACTCACTTTCAGTAGATTTAGTGTGTCTGTTGTCACCCAGCTGTAGTCAGGCTGGGCAGCTGTGTGTGCAGCTCTGGCCTCTCCACACAGAGTCTCACTGCTGTGCTGGTTCATACCTGTTGAGAAACACTGTGCCACATTTCTGATAAAATTATATGGGTTTGCTTCTTATGGAATCCAAAACACGTAAATACGTACTCTTCTATGAAGTATAACTGATAATCTCAACAATTATATGGTCTTTTCAGTTTTCATTTAACAGACTAAACCACTTCAGGCCAATTCAAATGTATGTTTACATATTTGCAGTTAAGAGTAACCTAGAAACTGAAACTTGTACATTTATTTTGATAATGTCTTTTGGGACATGTTTATTTCCCTTAAAAATGAAACAGCACAAACATGAAAATTATAACATATTTTCCCCTATACATTTGCAAGAGAATAATGTTTCTAAACACATGCTCACAAACAGTACGACCAGTAGTCAAGCTAGCTCTTCACACCAGTGAAGGACCATTCTCCAGAGAAAGCGTACAATTTAAAAACTGATACTTTAGCAAAATCTGATTTGAGTTAAATAGATTACTAAAATTTAGAAAAGTATTTGATTCCAACACCTATAAACTAGGCAGTTTTTTAAAGTAGGCCTTTACGACAGTAGTGGGTCGTCATAGTGCATTGATCACCCTTAGCAATGGTAACGACAAAATTAAGCAGCTGGAGTAAACCTGCATTTCAACTCACTATAATTTAGGCAGGAGTTAATGTCTTTGCACTCTTACATAAGTAGTCCATTTTGAGTTTTAAATAAATGCAAACAATACTCATTAAAAAGATTTTGGAGACAAGAATGCAACTTCTATAAACTCAAGCTCCTAATTTTTAAATTCTCCCAAGTCAAATAAAGTATCTAATGCAGAATCTATATTGCACGCTATTTAGTTGATTTTCATTCATTTTCAAAATTTTATAAGAATTTTTATTTTCTAGACTACTATACTTTCAAAGAGCATCTTTATAGTTACTAATGTTTTTCTACAAAAATAGAGTTGCTTAAAAATGTATACCAATTTGCTTTTATTTTCTATAAATATTTTGAGTTGTTAAATTGGAATGCCAAATAGAATTACTTAAATTAATCCATATAGTCAAAATACTTAATATGTAAAATGTCTACCGAAAGTTTGTCATTTAATAAATGAAAGATTCATTGTTTAATAAATGATATGTTTTCTTTACTTGTATCTTAGGGAGGTGGGTACAGTCATAGCAAAGCAAAATACAGTTCCTGTAAAGACCTGATTTAAAGTAACATGACAGATTACAGTGTCTTTTCTATCTTATGTCTGTTGTAACAGAAAATATATAGAGTATACTTTTGGATATTGAACCTGGATGATAAATTCGCTGTCATGCAGCCAGCGTAAAATAAGAATTGCTGACTAAAGGAATAACAAACTTCAGTCGAAACACTGATATTTTAAATATACTTATTTAGTGAGCAGCTATACTAATGAAAGATGCTGTCAATGAAGATAAAAATGAAGTTTTAAACATGAAATAGCAACCATAAAAACTGAAACTGCTATATGGAAACTCACTAACCTTCATTTTGATGGTGGGTTTAAAATCTGTGTTCAGAAACTATAGAAATGTTCAGAGTCAAAAATATTTATTTCAAGTTTTATTTCTTTCTAAAGGAATGAATTTCCAAAATAGTTTTCTAATATAAACATTTTTTTAAAAGCCAGTTTTCTTGCAAAAAAGCAAGAAAAGAACAAGATAAAACCATGTGCTTTCATATACTCTCTACACAATCAATACATATGCAAGTGCCTATGATATGGAAGGCACTAAATTTAGTAACAAATCAATGTAGTATTGGTAGCTTTAAAAACAAATACCAATATTCCACATTACTTTCAAAAATAAGTGTACCTAGTATAAGCCAATCAATCTCATTTTACTATTTGGTTATTGGTTGAGATTTTAATTACCTTATTTAAATGTTCTGAGACTTAATGAGGCACTATCTGCATTAAACAGCCAAATCAAATCAATTTAGATCAAAAGTCTTGAAATACTTCATCCTCATAACATGAACAATGAAAATGAGTCAAACATTCTCTTTCAAACTGAGAAACTGAATGGATCTTTTGGTTTGGGTTTGATTAAATTCAAGTATACACTACCAGTTAAATTTCTTTTTTTCTTAGGTGAGAGCAGTCATTAAAGTCAAGTACTTGAGAAAAATAAATAAAGGCAATAATAGGCAACTACATAATTCTATACTTGGGTTGCAAGAACCAAAGCAAAAGCAAACATAAACTCACACAAACAAAAAACAAATAAACAAACAAACAAAAAAGACCAGAGTCCCCAGTCATTGATCATCATGTAAGACAATAATATTGGTAATGAGAATAGTTGGATTAAATTGTGTTTTTTTTCCCCTGTCCTTCCGGAAAGATAAAAATTCAAAATGCTCTAAATGCTGACTAAGCAGGTATGGGTATAAACTCTGAGTAAAATATGAATACTGATTTTTTTTGTAGTTTTGGTCTCATCAAGAAGAAGCCTATCTTAGGAGTATGATAACTACATATAACATAAGACTTTGGTACTGATAATGTTGGATTCCGAACTTAGGAGGGCATGCTTTGCAAATAGAAATAATATATTTTTCACAGAAAAACTGCCAGGGAAACAGAGAGAAATAGCAGTGGTAAAGCTTTTTCTTAATGATTCCTCCTATTAGCCTTAATAGTCATCTATAACATGCATTTTTAGGAGGAATTCATCTCTTAAGGAGCTCTATAAAATCTGTTTTAAGACTTACTATAAAGTAAAAAGGCAATAATTTGATAAAATGCTAAAAATAGGAATAAAGAGATGTCTGAAATACCTAAAAATGCAGGAAGTATTTCCCAGGACTAACTTAATTAAATGTGCCCAAAGTAAAATGCTTCATCATTAATAGATGATAGCACACCTAAATGAAAAATACATCACTTTTAATAGCCTAAGAAAAAGAGTATTTCAACAATTTAGAAATTAAACCTTACACAGGCATCGACAGTCATAATAAGAAATGAGTGTGGTACGACAAAATGTTAAGAGCTATTTACATATTTAAAAGCAGTTCCCATTCTTTCAGCAAAACTGATGACATAAAATCAAGCGCACTAAATTGGCACAGTCATCTTTTCAAAGAGAAAAATACCGATGCACGTTAACAGATTTCTGAATTCACCACTATATTTATAACTTTTTATTTAAACTTTTATGATTTTATCCATGCGTATAATGTAGAAGAAAACTGGAAATCTTGGGATAAAAATAGAAATTTAGTTTCTCTTTTCTAAAGGTTAAAAAAAAAAAGACACTGAAATCCTGGATAGTAAGTATAATTAATAAACACAAGAACATGCCAAGAATTCATCCTATCAGTAGATATAACGAAGGTAGTAATGAAGTATGCTTATCAATAGCCCACTTTTAGTCAAGTTTCCCATTCTGAAGACTGTTTTTAGTTTTCTCTTGTCTGAAGAGAGAGATGACTTTGATGCACCCCTTTGAAATTTTGATCATCCACATGACATTCATCACATCCAAAATAACACAAGTAAGTACCCAGAAAAACTGGACTGAAAATCCAAGCCTCACGTAGGCCTCTGTTCCAAACACGGAATACATGTAGCCATAGAAAGATGGTATGGCAGCAATCCGCACAATGAAGAATACTACCGTCATGAGTATCCCGTTGATGACGTTAGCCTTGCAAAACTTGGAATAGTTCAGAGCTTCAAAGAACCACCTGGAAGAAAATGAAAGAAACATCGCATTCACTCTGCATCTCTGAGGATTAATCACTTAAATTTTAGTTTTTAGTTTTTAAAATTCAGTGAACAGCCAGCCCCCTACAATTTATATGAAGACTCAAAGGACATATATAAAAGTAATTCTAGATGTACGCATACACAGGTTAGAAGTTTCCAGGTTGTCAGCTGCGAGGGCACAGAACAATGATGACCTCCCATTAGAAACCCGGGTCTCAGTTTCTAATACCACTCTCCAATTAAAGGAACCAGGGCTCCTTGAGAAGTGACTGAATCTAGGGCTGGGACAGAGAACATACAATATGAATCTGGAGTATTTTTTAATGCCAGAAAGTAAGAAAGTGCTCAAAAAACAAAATGATGAGGTTATGTCCAAGGGACACAGAAATGAACGGAAAGAGTTCCCAAAGGAAAAAACTGTAACAATTTGAATAACCAAATAACGTAGTATTGAATTATAACCCAAAGTATAATGTAAATATCCATGAATCCATAGCAATATGAATGAATGAATGAATGAATGAATGGGGGAGAAGGGACGAATATCCTGTGCAGAATAACTGCAAATAATTTTTGTAGATATTGCTCACTCAAGGATGTGATGCAAAACCCCCTACTCCTCAAGGCAGTGCTAATAGTGACCACCTCCCTATAGAAGGCAGGTGGGGTGGAAAGAGTAACTTGAAAATTGAGAAATCTGAGAAACTCTGCCTCGGTGATGTGAACCAGGTAAACATCAACAGTGATAAGGCTTTTTTAGAGCATGCAGTCCTGATATAATGCGATGAGAACAGTACTCTAGTTTGTGGTCTTCCTCCACTAAGCCGAGTCTAATCATAAGAAAAACATAAAACAAACCCAAATTGAGAAATATTCTACAAAACACCTGAGCAGTACTCCTCAAAACTGACAAGGTCACCAAAAATAATTGAAGTCTGAGAAACTGTCACAACCAAGAGGAATCTAAAGAAACATGTTGACTCAAAGTAATATATCTGGATGAGATCTTGGGACATGAAAAAAGACATTAGGTAAAAAACAAGGAAGTGCGAATACAGTATAGACTTTAGTTAATAATAATGACCAGTACAGGTCCATTAATTGTGACAAACGCAGCACACTAATGGAAGATGATGCCCATAGGGGAAACTGGGGGTGGGCGATACAGGAACATTTCTACCTCATCCTTGCAACTTTTCTGTATATCGAAAATATTCTAAAAAGCTTATTTAAACAAACAAACAAACAAACAAACAAAAAACATTATTTGTTCTATTCTACTTTCCCTTCCTTAGAAAAACTGTCTTGACTAATTTTACCTCGTTATTTTGGAGGTTAAACTGTAAATGTAGTAAAATACATCCATGTATCTTAATATTCAATTTGACTGAATTAATCATGCCAGAACGAGAAATGGCTCAGCCTCAGAAACTAAAAATTAACAGTTAAAAAAAAAAAAACAAAATATTTTACTAAGCGAGATTAAAATATCCAATAGGAACAATTTGTAGAATAAGAGGTGTATTCCAATTTATAAGTACGTGTAGGGTGAACAGTGATATTATTCATGGCAACTAAAAGAGAAAATAGGAAGCAACAGTCAAATTAATAAAATAATGTCACAAACAGGAAAACTGTCACTGAAGCAGTAGAGTCAACGTCCCTCGGTCTATCCTAAACCTCCCGTCCTCCGTCCTCTCTGCTCCAGACTCGCCCTCGTACCCTCACTCGCTCTTTTTTGACTACACGGTAGCCTTGGTGTTACTCAGAAATGCTGTACCTCAAATAACCCATCCCTTCCTAAGCACAACGCTTAGCATCCCATATTTCACTTTATCCAATTCCATCACCTCCTCTTCTTTGACCTTCTAACTCTCAAATCCCTCACTATCAGCCCGTAGACTTTGATTCGCATCCTTCCCAACCTACGTGAGCTCACGCTACTTCAGAACACACATCAGCACCTCTGGTTCTCTCACCACCACATCTATCCCACCCACCCGGCCTAACTCCAGCCTCTCAGCAAGCCAGCTTCCTTTAGGCAGGACGGTGTACGGGGAAGGTGAGTACTGTGCCCCACAGGCACACTGCCTGGGTTCAAAGCCTGCTTCTGCCACTGAGCAGCTGTGTGGTCTTACCTCTCTTTGTTACTGACTTCTTTCTATGTCTCAGTTTTACCTCTACAAAATGGGGATAATGATAGTACCTCCCTATAATTTTATATATTTACATAAGCTGTCATATACATAATATACACACTTGACACAGCATACTGCATCATACATATGTATAACGTATCATATACATATAACATACTATAAGCTGTTGTGACACATACGAAGAGCTAGATAAGTAGCTTTAATTACCCAGGTTGATATTAAGATAAATGGCACAGATATAAGTTAAAGAGATCTAAATAAACTTCAGCTGAATTCCCAAATTTGCTTGACATCCCATTTACTAACTCCACATTGTCCACAGAGCTGCTTCCAAACCTGTCTTCCCACTCGTCACTTCCCTTCCTAATTCCCTTCCACTTCTCAATCCCATCAGAGGAAGTGGCCTGTTCTACTCACAGGGATATATGTCTGAGTCCACCAGCCATGAATTCCTCACACTCTGACCCCGAAGCCTCAGGCACCTTTACCTTTATAGTCACATGAAGAGGTTTTTCTTGCCCTCTCGAAAAGGAACTGCTTCTTCACCCATGCTCTGGATCCAAACCCACTTTCTGAGACTTTAGTCAATGATCCCCTTTTCTTTGCTCCATCTACTTCCCCATCTATAGACTGATTCTTCCTTCCCTCATACTAACATGCCACAAGTCCAACACTACATTTAGCCCAGACTATTTCCTGTTCTCCAAGCACTTCGCACACTTTTCAAATTTTTGGCTGTCTGGAAAGGTGATTATCTACAAACCCAGAATTACAGAGCATGTCCTTTGGCTTTCCTGTGCAATCGCCATGTTTATCTTCTGCCAATTTTTCCATATGACTAGTGCCTGGTCTTTAAGCCAGTCTCTTTTAAAGGGAGAAAAACTCATGTATGAATTCAAGGTGAAATAATATTCATATAATCGTACTTATCTTTGTCTCTCAAGTCAGAAGGACCAGTTATTTTGTTGGAATCCACATCTTCTTACCTAATTAGAACACTCATTCCAACAAATAAAGGCTAACAGTTTGTGAATGCAGTCAGGCTGACGCTGCGAGGGAAAGAAGCAGGAGAAAGAAGAAAGATGTGCGTGGGGGGAGGAAAGAGGGAAATACTCTCTTTTACCCACCACACACAATTAGCGAGCCGGGTAAAAAAGAAGAGATAGCAAACCGTATGTGTTTGTCATCCCCGGCAACACCATAAAGAAAAACCTGCCTTTGATCATTTAGTATTTCTTCCTCTCCGGCCCTTCTAAAGGAACTTGAACCTTTTAATTAAGTTTCCTGGGAGTTAACTGTGCAGTTGGTATTCTCTACACTACTTACCAATAGTGCAAACACGATTCAGGTTTTTTTTTTATTATCACTATTTGGGGTAATTTGTTTGTATTATCTGTTCTAATTCACATTTGGAAAGAGGAGAGGGGGCTTACTTGCGGGTAGAGAAAGAAAGAAAAGACGTGAGAAAAGAGGACAGGAGTAAAGAACCAATCCTACGTAGTCCTGGCTCGGTGAGTTTGAGGAGCTGGGAGTTGAGAGTCAGAGAATCGAGTGAACCTTGAGAAAGCTGCAGGGTCCAGGAGATATTGTGAGTTCACGAGAAATGAAGAGAATTTTAAGAAGCGTCGCTGTGAGTAACAAACTGGATCTTTGTTGACGTCCTTGGAGCAACTCCAGTAAGGATTTGGATGCCATCCTGCTTCTGGGACTCTGTGCAGAGACTGGGCTGTGAGCTGACCTTAGTTATATCGTGGTTGCAGTGTGATCCTTTCAGGCATGTAAACATTTGTATTTTTTAATGAATATTATTAACTCTTGAAATTTGGAGAAGTTCAGGAACTTAGTTTTAGAAAAGTTGTCTTCCACCCCAATATTATTTGTTGAAATGCAGAGATAAATAAAAAACAGAAAGAGAGAACTTTACAATAAAATATATTAATCATAATGGATAACTTCATGTCCCTATTATAGAAACACGGGTGAGGGACACCCAATCCATTCTGGAAGAAGATGGGTTTTATCATGGAAATGATCCCTGGGTCTTGAAGGATGAGTGAGGAGCCAGGCAGCCTTTCTAGAACATGGACAAGTCGGAGTGAGAGGAGATTTCTGAGGGGAACTGTGGCAGAAAGAGACAAGACAGCTCTGCTTGCAGAGCTTTCTCTGGCACATTAAAGAGCCCCAATTTTATCCTGCAATCAGCGGATGCCACTGAGGATTCAACCAAGGGAAGTGCATATACTGATTTTTTAGCGAGATCATCACGGAAGATGATAATATAGAAGAGAGATGAAAAGGAAAAGAGGACTGGAGGCAGGTAGATGGTCTAGAGCAGGAGTCCGCAAACTTCTTCCACAGTAACATACAGTGACAGGCTTCGGAAGCTGTACAGTCTCTGCCACAACCAATCAACTCTACCTCTGTAGTGTAAAAGTAGTCATGGTAAACAAATGAGCACGGCTGTGCTCCAAACAAGCTTTATTTACAAAAACAGGCTTAGTTTGCTGACACCCCCCCCACACACACACACACATCACTCTATCAAAAAGAACTTTCTGCAACAATAAAAATGTGCTACAGATGTGCTACCCTGTTCAGTAGCCACTAGCCACATGGGCTATGAAGCACTAAACTGGTATAACTTAGCCTGAGGAACTGAAATTTTAATTTATTTAATTAAATTAAATGTAAGTAATCACATGTGACTTGTGGCTACGCTATTGGGCAGTACAGGGTTAGAGGCTGTTACAGTAGCCTGGGCAAGAGATGAACTAGGGCACTGACAGGAGGGATGGAAAGGAGATGGCATGGACAAGAAATATGTAGGAGGTGATGTGGTAGGACCTGGTGATGGACCAAAGATAGGTGAGGGAGAAATAATCAAAGATGATTCCACATGTCGAGCAGGGGTAATGGAGAGAATAGCTGAGCCACAGGCTGAACAAGAGAATATAAGAGAATACAGAGGGAAACGTGGTGCATTCTATTTTAGACATGTTGAATTTGATGCGCCACCTGGGAGGAGAAAACACTTGACTATAATACAAAGAAGTAGGCAATATTGAATATGTTCTTTTTATAGAGAAAGCAACTGTAGTGCAGAGATGTTAAATCACTCATCCAAGGTCAGAGCAAGTAAGTGACAAGGTAGAATTGTAACTTGAGTTTAACTGATTGTAAAATTCATGCAAAGTCCATGATACGAAATGAGCAGACAGGTAAGAGCTGAAACCCTGAAAGTAGAGCACGCTCAGGGAGAAGCACGGAGAAGATCCATGGGCCCAGAAGAGAGCCCTGGGGAACACCGGCCTTTAAGGAACTGATTCTTACAAAGAAGACAGAGAGGATGGTCAGAGAAACACAAGAACTAGATGTGTGCAGGGTCATGAGAACAAAGGGAGTTAGGCATTAGAAGAAGGAAATGATCAACAGCAACAAGTATACAGAGATACAAGACGGGCACCAAAGAGAATTCACTTGAATTTGCAACGGGAAGTCACTGGTGCCTCTAATGAAACAGTTCCAGCAAAATGACAGAGAGGAAGCTTAATTTTAATGGGTTAAAGGGCAAAAAAGATATGACAAAGTAGAGAAAGTAAATATAAACCATGCATGTCCAGCGTTTATAGTGCTGTACATGGTGATAATAATTCATATCACGTATGCTCATTTTGATATGGTAGCTTTAGGCTTGGAAAAAAATTTTCCCCAGGCTAAAAATAAATTGCATGGATTTAAAATAATTAATGTTATCAGTAACCTACCGCTGATTCACAAAAGGACTGGAAAGTTCGGCAAGCAGGCGGATATTCCCAATGTACTCCAGCACACCATCTCTCTAGGTGATGAACATAAAACACAATGTCGGGGATAACTTTTCATCGGAATTTCCAAATGTTGCAAAAAACATTAGTAGCTCTTCAGCATAAAATAACAATCCACATCAAAACAGACCAAGTCTGCTAAACTGATCTTCTTTATGAGAATTTAGAAATGTCACTTATGTTCACTTATATGTATATTGTTTACTTATAAAAACAGATTTCAAGCGGTTGCCTTATGTTGAGCTGAGAAATTCTGCAAATAGCCATTAGTAACAGTGTATAAACTACAAGAAAATACATCAAATATTGTCAGTAGTTATCTATGGAGAATCAGACCTAGAAAATGTTATACTTTACGAAGCCCTATATTTCTACAAACTCAAATTTTTTTTTTTGCAAACATCCATATCAGACCAAAAGAACAATAGAAATTAACACACTCAGCTTTTCATTCCCTAAACTGCTATAGCATTACTAATTTATCACCGGGTGATGTATTGCTTGAATTTTAAATATTTTCCTGTATTTAAATCTCAGCTATTTAAGTGAATCCCAGAGGTTCCGCTGTATCCCCACCCCTTACCCTGCACTTCCTTAGTTCAAAGCCACTGTGAGTTGTGCAGGGGTATAGAACTAAGCTGCATAGTCTTGCTTCCTATACATCAGTGACTCTCCACCTGTTTAATCCAATACATCTGTGAGAGCATCATGTGTGGCACATACTTCCAAGGGCACAGGTAACCGTTTGATAAGCTTCATGTTACATGTAATTTTTCATTACCTTATCCCTCCACTGAAGAAAACCTACTGAGAAACCAGGGAGAGAGATCTTATTAAAGAGAGAGGTTTAAGTCTTCTCTAATACTTTTAAACAAATTATAAATTTTGACACTTTACTGTTAGCAAATTATGCCAAAACTCACAGCTCACTTCTAGTCAATATGGTGTCTCCACTTCTGCCATCTACTTTTAAGGAGCTTTGCCTAGCGTAAAACTTCTACTTGCCATGGCCTCTGCATGACTCTGTGAGGGAAAACAAAACAGGATTTGTCTGATCCCTTCCAGAGCTTAAAGAAAATTCTCCTTTTAGCTGGTGATTATGAAAATCTGGATTTTCTTACCACGGGAGATTTAATTTTCTAACAGTTGAGAGTGACTAGGGTCAGGGATTTAGAAGATATGGGAGAAAGATAACTAGAATTCTTACGCACGGATTACTGCTAGCATGGTGCTAAATACTGCACCAACGGCTTGAAGTGGGATGGGGAGCCCTTCTCACCTCAAGGGCCATTAACTGGTATGAGAGAGGTTTGGGGCATCACAGATGGGAATCTTGCCTAAAAATGTGACTGTGTTCTGCTATAGCAATAATGAGGTACTTATTTATAAGTTATTTAGACTGACCTAGAGCTTTAGCACATGTCCATGGGAAACTCTTTCCAAGTAACATCAATCTAGATCTGAGATTCGGGGACAAAATCCACCCTATATTTAATAACTATTTGCTTAACTTTAATCATTCAGGGTTTTCTGATTATTTACTTGTGAGAGTTGAGGTTCGAGCTAACGCACAGGGCTGGATTGCCAAATCAGACTCAAGGGAAACAACAATCGATCTGAGTATTAAGCTTTACTAGACGTTGCAAGGACAGAAGCTATGACGTAATTCAGAGGCGACAGAGGTTTGGTACATAAGGGCAGGTGGCAAGCCAGGTGCTTCGGGTCTTGAACGAGGGGCTCAGGACACATGAGGCTCTGAGTGAGGTTCACCAGGTTCCACACACAGCAGTGAGAGGGAAACTTAGAAAACATCTCCGTTGTATGCCCCCAGAAAGTTGTACAACCTGCATGACATTCTCTGAGGAGCCAGGCCTCATGTAGCCTGGGTTTTCCTTACAGGAGGGAATCCTTAGCCAGGGGACATCCTAAGGGCATGGTGGAGTTAAGATCCCTTCCTCCCAGCAAGGCCGGTACTCTTTTTACCCACAAGTCCCACTGACAAGAAAAATGGACCAGAGTCATCTGCCTTCTTTTCTTCTTTTCCCTTCTCCCAGAAAGTGAATGGCTTTGCAGGCTAGCTGCTTTACTCTTCCTCCCAGGGTTACTTAAGAAATTGGTGACATAACCTGGTTTATTTTTACTTGCTCACTCCCTAGCTCTCCAGTATTAGAATTAAATCAAATTTCAACAAAAAAGTTGAATCACAGAATCTCAGAGTCAGAACTTAAAAGATGATGTAGTGCAAGTTCCTACCCAAAGTGTCTACTTAATTATATCTATTTTTACATGCATCTGATTGATGATATCTTAGGGAAGAAAAACCACTTTACAAAGCCACTGTTATAGTCTTCTATTCGTTGGGGATGTCTCCTCTGTAAAACAGACATCCCCTCACCTCTCTTTGGTCCAACATCCCCATTGGTCCTAGTTCCAACATCTCAATTAATCCAAAATAAGTCTACTCTCTCTTCCACTTAGTAGTCCTTCCACATTTCCAAGGACGTTTCAAAGCCATCAGATCCTACAACTTCTTACTTTTCTAGGCTGACCTCTCTGGGTCCTTCAATTGTTTGTTATAGGACAACAGCTACCTAATCTAATCTCCCCTCTACAGTTATCTGGCAGTCTCTCCCCTGGCATATGCAAGTTTAGGAACTTCAGGTGTTGATAATCTTGGGTATGGTCTAACCAGGAAATCTGTAATTTTGTTTGCTACAGTCCCTCCCCTAATATAGTATAAATTTGAAAGCAGCTTCTTTTTTTTTAGAATATGTGACATGCTATTGGTGCAACCTATATATAACCTATAATACTCTATAACACTCTAAATTCAAAAGAATCTCACTTTTCAACTATTCAGCATAGGGCATACATTTAAAACCTACAGGTAACTTAGTTTCTATTCTTCATTTAAAATCTTACTTAGTTTCAATTAAAAAATCTTTTAAGGAAAAAAGCTTACTACAAACAGCTTAAATGCTTGTATAAGTATCAAGTCAAAGTGCTTTCCAAATACCAGTTCTCACAACATAAATGATAAGAATCATGAAAGTTTATACAAAATAATAATTATAGCAGTTGCTGATATTGTTGCTGTTGTCGTTGTTGTTATTTTGTTAGCCTTACTTAATATAAACAAAGTGGTCTGGGAATTCACTGCATGGAAAAAATTTTTCTTAGATTCAAACAGCAAATGTAAGCTCTGTAAATGATATAGTATCTCTATATCTATGAACAGTTATTTCATCTAAATTTTTCCTATTTTTTTTAGATTCACTTTAATTAGATAAATTTATTTCATACCATTAATTTATTTCATATAACACAGGAAGACATAGCAAAAAAGCAACCATCTCTAGAAAAAAAATTATAGTTGATTTTATCAACTTTACTAAATAAGGCAAATAGATCATTTCTTTTTTAAAAATCTAGTATGCACTTATTGGTTTTCTTTTTTTTTACAAAGGCTTAAAGTCCAAAGAGAAAACAGTACTCATCCCACATAAATAAATATTCAACTTGCAAGTCCCTGTACAGCCAGCCATTTGCCAAGCCTGTGATTGCAGTGGCCAAGAGCAAACAGTTAAGTCATAGTATATTTACAAATGCATGTAAGTGACCGGTTATCTTTCACTAGCTGACATTCTTTTCACAGCACAATGATTATTTGTGATTCATGTTCAGATAACATACTTCTAAACTACAGCGTGATATTGAGCTCACATGGGTACACACACACATTCTTTCCAGAGCTAACCACTGTTTTGTAAGTCAGTTTCCATGTCTTTTTAGCATATGTCTTTAGAAAACAAGTGCTTATATGCCAAATATTGAAGACATATAAAAGGTAGAAATTTGTATTTTATAAATAACTACCTGCAATCTATTAAAATCTAAAAAGGAAGGCAAAGAAATAAACAGTAGACAATGCTAGTAAAAACAGCCTATTGCTTCAGATAAATAGAGCAATTATAGATACCTTTTGGGACACATGAGCACTTATATATAACATTTATATTAAGTTATTTGGATTTATATAGAGAGATGCTTTGATATATCTTATTCTTATAGAAATAATGCCAAATTTTCATCTTATTCACCAGGTATCTTTGTGAATAGAAAAATATTAATACACATTGGTATGATTTTTTTTTTAAACCCTCCAAATAGTCACAAATGACCAAGAATAAGGATTATAGTAATACCAACTAAGAAAAAAAAGGCAGTGGTTACATTTAAGTTTTAAAACAGACAACATAGAATGGTATACCATATCTGTTACATAAAATTTATACCATCCTAGTTTATATCTATCTATCATTTCTAAATATCTATCTTGGGTTTGTTGGTATATCTAGGTTGAAAAGTAATTCATTGTAGAAAAACCTAACAAACAAGCAAGGGATATAAAATTGCTAATTTACAAATGTATAATACATAAAAAAGTAATTTTAGATATCAAATTTAATATGCATTACTGTCTGAGATTTGCTGCGAGTATCTTCTATTAGTTCAGTCTTAAAATTCTGACGGTCTCTGAGCGAGACTCTCTGACGGCTCCAGCTTACATGTAATTATGCATGCACATGGAATTACATATGGAATTGAACAGAAAATAAATATTTTAGCTGAGTACACAGGATTCTATACCACGTCCTGGCTAGCTACAGATTCAATCATAAATGCATCTCAAAAGACAAATATGAGTAGCTTCATGATCCTAAAGGTTTCAAGTGAAAAGAAACTGAAGTCATCCACCTTTCTCAAAGTTTAAGAATCCAAATAGGCATACTAACACAAGTAATTTTTGTTAATAAACAAGATAGCATATCACAAGAGGAACCCCTGAATGCATTTTGAGTTGGTCTTCATAAATTAAGAACTGTATGTTTAGATTTACATCTACCCCTAAGTCATTCCTCCCAAACTTGTCTGCTTTTCGACTTGTAAATCCCGGCACTCACCAGTACGAAGAAGTAGGCACACAGAACTGTACAATGATGAATTATAAAATATTTGTCACCAATCACTTTCCAATACAAAATAAGAATCAACAAGTCTGTTAAGAAGGAAAAATAAGTAAGATAATACGCAGGAAGAAAACTGCATTTAACTCTCCTGACAATTTATCACAGTCCACTCTGAGCCCATAGCACTTCGTTCACACCTCTGTTGTCAATTACCCATTTTATCATGAAGTATGAGCTCCCCCACTCTACCTTAACTCCTCCGGGACAAAGACCAAGTGTGGGCATCTAGCACAGTGCCTGGCATATAGCTATATGATGTATTTGTTGAAAGTATAAATGAATAACGTTTCAGGGTTAAAGTGAAAATATTACTGAATAAAAATAAATTTAAAATAAACTTAAATAATTGATTTAGGTCACTACAATAATTCATACAGATGAGATGGCCACAGAAAAGGTAAAAAATGACCAACTCATTTATAACACTAATTTAACAAAAAATGTTTAAAATTTAACAAAGGGTACAGTTAAATATTAATTCAAAATAGCAAAAAAAAACCCACCAAGAATGATGATTATGGAAAAGATACACCAAAAAGGTCAAGACATCAATTTTCTTTAAAAGAACCTGAATCTAAACACTACGATTCAGAAAATAGTTTCATTTAACACAACAGAAACTTCTAAAAAACTGTTAACAACTATTTTCTTTGCCCAATTGTTAAACATGAAATTTAAACCTGGAAAGAAATGGCTATCATGGATTATAGTTTTATGGGCTCAAAGATTATAAAGTACGGAGACTTTCTTTTACAAAAAATAAAAAATTACTAATATAAAACTAGATGTGAATATTTATAAAGACAAAAAAATCAGATTACAAATTTTAAAGAGAAAAATAGCACAAATGTGGAAATCCAGAAAATATAACACTATTAGGCATTAACTGCCTGGTATACCTATCTAAACACATTGTCCCTACATATTTTGGTTGTGTACTCTTTAGTCACCAATTTATATGATAATGATCTTGTAATATTTCTATAGAGAGAATAAAAAGAATTCACTTTTCACTCAGCTTGGTTTAGAAAAGTTTGCTTCAGCTCATAGCTCTTATTTTTAAGGGTTTTGGATTATTATCTTATTTGGGAAAATATTGTTTCTTTCATACGAGATTTCCCCAGTAGTGATGACTCTCTGAATTAACAATATTAACCAGTTTGTGAGGCATATTATAAACTTTGTGTTATGCTTGTCAATGACAGCATTTTGCGCCAAATAAGCAAATTTTTTTCCAAGGAGTTAACAGGATTCACTCTTCTTTTAATTGGGCCTTCAAATAATCCAATAGCCTATTCGTTATTTCTCTTTAAAATTTATCTCTTCCTCTTAATGAATTACATGTTTTGGTATAATCTAATTTTTGATCACTTCCTTTATCATTTTTACTTCATATTCCATTATTTTTATTTGAATTTTCTTTCAATTATTTATTAAATTTAAAAATTATAAAATAGAGTTCTCTATATAAATGCCCAAATGTGGGATCTGTTATTCCTCTCTTGTTTTATGGAGACAATCCAAAATGTCTTTTCAAAAAGCAGTTTATGGTATATGCTCAACTTAACTTCCCCTGTCTCATCGTATCAAAGTTTATTTCAACTCCATCCAAAACATGGGTAGAAATATGACAGAGGGAAATCTGGAATAGAAAGAATCCCTGATCTTAAGTGATTATGGCTCAAATAGTTACTTCTGCAAATTTTACCAAAACAATGTCCATGGGAACACATTTCAAGGGCCCTTGCAAATGAGGGGTGCTGAAGCTTAAACTACATTAGTTTCACAGGAATTCTACCTGAGAGGTTCTTCAGGCCAAAAAGGGACCATTGCTAGTGAAAACTGTCCAGTCCTAACAGGGTCCCACTCTGTAGCTCTGATCTCCAACAAGAACCAGAGAGCCGACAAGAAAACGTTTCATGTTCAACCCTCACAGCAGGCATTTTTTCCCACTGTCTGGGTCCTAAAAGCTACTTCTCAAATAAATTAACTAAAAGCATAGTTTATGTATTCTGTGCATGAGTAACTTAAAAAGAAACAGTGAATTAGTGAATAATAGTGGTTACTTAAAAATTTAATTAAAATATTAATCTTTTCATTTTATGTGTATTATTTTATCAAACAGCTATGAAATTGTTAGAACATAAATACTTCATAGGTTGTTTATAGTTGTCTTTTTAATAAATGGAACTTTAAAGATTTAAAAAAAAAAACCAGTAAATAATATACCACATACCAGAAATGATGTAGCCTGAAGAAATAGCAATATTCAGTTTTACAAGCCATGAATTACCCCTATAAATATTAAAAAAAAAAAAAGTATCTTTCTTTAGCACATAGGTTATAGATGACAGCTACTTTTTTTTCTATTAAAGTTTAAAATTAATTAAAATGCTTTCTACAGATTCTCAAATGGTAAACTGTCATTTGCATAAGTACTATGATAATACTTCTGATTGCATGAATAATCATTTTTTAAATTTACTAGCTAAAAGTTTGAAAAAAGTAGTTTTATCAAAAGACAACTTTTTATAAACATGTTCTCATGTGATTTGTTTGCAAAAGAACTGAAATAGAATACCAGATGCTGATTTTTTTATTTTTCCTTATTCTAAATCAGATTTGACCTCAAGAAATCACCTAGACCACCCCTGCTTTTGAGGCCATATACTATTATCATCATCACTTTACTGTGCACTGGAGAGGTTTGCCTGTAACCACACGTCAGGACGTGGTCGGAACAGGACATTTTAATCCTGATGTTTCTACCCCTCCAAATATCAAGATCCTACACTTTGCTGCACTAATGCTCTTCACTTCAAGAAACAAATCCAAATTTTCAGTTCTTTATCATCTGACTTATAATGTGAACTACCAGTGAAATGAACAGAAAATAAAACTGATAACAATTAAACTACAAATGGAAAGACTCAGAGAAGTCACGTCTTCTTCACGTAACCTAGGAACATTGGACCTGGAATAAATTTTGGCATCACAGAAAATGTCAAAATACCAAAAATTATAGTAAGTAAAAGTCTGATATGGACAAAAATTGATTGATTAATCAAATCTTTGTTATAAAATTTACTTTGCAAAAGAACTGGTTCTGTTAACAATCGTGTTAGTAAAATAAAAATATTAAAAGAAAAAAGCTAGAAATTGTTTAGGCAGATTACACAAAAAACTTGGTAAAGGCATTAAATTCACTAAATGGATTCACTTTGAAAAATATCTTCCCAATGAAAATTTATTGATACTAGTATAATTCTGATATGCATAACTCCATACTTGTGAATAAAAAATATCACTGTGTCTACGGCCATACCACCCTGAACACTCCCGATTCCCTCTGATCTCGGAAGCTAAACAGGGTCAGGCCTGGTTAGTACTTGGATGGGAGACCATCTAGGAAGACCAGGTGCTGTAGGTGTTTAAAAAAAAAAAAAAAATCACTGCAGTCAAACAGAGATGGTCAAAAGACCTGGTTAAACCTCCCCACTTCGCCATGCAGTGCTTTCTCAAAACATATCCAATCTCTCAAACTGAGCTGAACTCTTTTCATAAAACACCAGGAAATACAGTTTATAAAATCTCTACCTTTGGAATGACATTTAAAATGTTCGGAAAGAACCATTTTACAAATTATCCTATTATTGCTGAACATAGTTATTACTAGTGCTTCAAATCTCATGTGGTACTAACTTCCTCTTATATAGACATCTATAATTCTAATTTTCATACCTTTGATATCAAATGATGGGACAAACATAAATTTGAAAAGCAAGTCTTAAGTAGATATTATCCAAGTTGACTAGCCTATCTCAATAATAACTCATTTTTGCTCAAAACAGTGGTTACAATAATTCGTTTTACTAACACAGTATAAATGTTTCCATAATCGTATTCTCCTTATTTGGATAACAATGATACTAAGGCAAAACGGCCCTCGTTATCTGTATTCAAATCTGAAATCATTTTAATGCACCGTGCAGAAATAAGTCTGAACACAAGCATTTTAATAAACCATATACCATCAACATTTTTTCTGCTTTAAAGAGATGTTCTTATTAATAATTAATATCAAAATGTAAGTCAAATTGAATATATTGGAAAGAAACAGCTTACCAAAGTGGATCACTGATTGTAGCTTCATCAAAGAAGAAAATGTACAGGCCAAAAACCCCAACCACCAAAGAATGATATGTAGATCCTACCCTGAAATGAAATGAAATGTACGTAGGATTTCAGGTTCTTTGCCAATAAACTTTAATTGTGTAAAGCATTTAACATTATGAAGAACTTAAATCCAGAGGAATGGAGTATATCTGATAGTATGTATAATGCAAAATTGTCACTTAGAAATCCAAGGGCCACAAGTTTACTTTGGAATTAATAACAAGAAGGATACCCAGGTCTACGATTTTCTGCTAGAAAACTGGTGAATTACTTATTGGTTAAAAGTTCTAAAATGAACGAGAGGCCCAGCTAGCTCAGTCTGTAGAGCATGAGATTCTTAAAAGTTCTAAAATGGAAGCACATCTCATAATGCAGCTGACAGGGTTTTGTGCAAACAGGTGGTGATTGGTAAGCCCACCACCCCATGCCCTGCACCCCGCTCAGAGCTCCCTCCTCAACAGCATCACTGTGCAATTCAATTCGTTTCCTGCTCCAATCAGTCAAAAATGACTTCCAAATCTACTAGCCTCAACCAACCCCATGTTCAAACAGACCATGAAATGCACCTTCACATGCATTATTGTACTCGATTCTTGTAACAAATCTGCAAGAAAGTTAAGGCAGCTCTTATTAATCTCTCTTTATCATTAATATGAAAGAACTTCTAAACAGAAAAACTGAGGACCATAAATTTACACAGAATATCTGTTTTTAAAAGAAATGTCCAAGTCAAAGCAAAATGTTCACAAGATCCAGGTCGAATTTTCTTTCATAGAAGGAATAAGGATGAGATGAAAAATATCAGTTTCCATTTGGAAAAAATCTAACATTTTGTTCATGATGTTCAGGCCTCAAACTCCCTTCTCCACTGAGATGTTACATGGTTAATGGGAAGAACTATAAGCACTCAGCAATGGAAATGGCAGGTAATTCATGAGAGAAAAGTTAAATGTTACTTGGATCAAATAGCTCGCACTACAATGAACGGAAGAAAACACCCAGTGCTTACATATTATTCTGTATTAAAAGTCTATTTGTTCAGAAACTTGTTAGTAAAAATTTCATTTTTCATTCTTTAAAATCAGTTTCCTAGCAAAGCAAAATGTAGATTCCTTAGTGTCTATTGTATTTCAAAACAATAAGACTTTCTATACCATAGGAAAGGAAGTGGATATGAGAAAAACTTTTAATTATAACATAAACAATACCTATAAGTATGTATGTTTTCAGAAAAGCAACTATTTAAGTATAGCAATTTCTCGCTTATAATTAATTAAACTGTTATCTCTCAGGTCTGAATTTTCTGGTGACTTTTTTTCCTCCTGTCCTTTTTTTACTAGATGACTTAGACCATGCATTATTCAGAGACTCTTGATTACTAGGAAGAATTATATGAGTGATGTTAATCTGTCTAGACTGGAGGCTGGATTTAACTTTATTCAAAAATTAGTCAATTTTTTTCCTTCTTTGCACTCTCCACCTCACAGCTTAAGTCCCATGTAAACTCAGCTGAAGTGGGAAACGAGTAAATTTGAGGGCGGGGGGAAAGAGAGAGACAGAGAGAGACAAAGAGACACAGACAGAGAGAGAGGGAGAACGAGAACACATCATTTGGATTGTGTAATCTACTTTATATAATCCCAGATTTGTTTTCAAATAGAAACTCAGTTTCCCAAACAGTGATTCCATGTATCATAGAATGGCAGTGATAAGACTGAATGATGCAATGTATTTTTCAATTTCTTCATTTCATTTCAGTTTCATCTTTGCTTCTATCCCCCTGTGCCCTCCTATTTCTTGGCTTACAGCTCTCCAAGATTCAAATGCCTCTACCTCCGAGCCTGTATCAACCAAGGAAATGAAAATAGTTCAAAATCTAACCACATAAAATGTATGTCCCCATGTCTCTTCCTTTTCTTTCTCATCAGTCTATCTATTTTTAAGTTTGAAAGGTTTTTTAAAGTAATGCTTAATATCTTTCATATCCCACATTTGAACAATATCTTTGTACTATTCTTAAGACAAATCATGCCTCTCGTTTTTCAAAAATACATGGAAAAAGAAACCTCACTTTCTGGATGAAAAGACCTGTAGCTTATATGAACCAAACATATCAGTGTAAGGTGCCAAAGAAAAAACAAGTCTTATTCACAGCCTGAATGATAAAAGTGGAAGTCTGTAAAACAATTTGGCACAAAGATAGGGGATTTCAGGTCAAATATGCCCATGCTCAAATAAATACTTAGACTTTGGCAGGTCTTTAATTCTAAGAGGAAATTTCAATGAAAACTAATTATAGCAATCTTAGAGACCTGCTGAATTCATTTTATAGTTAGCATTAACTTCAACTAAATAACAACAACAAAACATATTCCCATAGCTGCTCTGATTCACCGAGGTTTGAAAACGCACTTTGATGTTTAGGCATCTGAAGGTTTCTAAAGCCAGTGAGGTAGTCATCAGTCATTTTGTGTTTGAAATCTTGTGAGAAATTAAAGAGGTGCACATATAGAAACCAACTAATGAAAACTACTGCAGCCCTCATCTTTACATCTTATTCATTTTCTACTTGTTTTTTTATTTAAAAAAATCTAAAAAGCAATTTTTACTTTAGGATTGTATAACAAAAGAATAGATTCTGGAGGGCTCTGAATTATAATGAAAAAGTTCATTAAAAGAGAGAGGCAGATGCACGAACCTCACACCACTTTCTCTAGTATGTGGTGTGTAACTGCCCTTGAGCAAAGGCAGCCAACACTATACATAGACTACTCGCAGCCCCAACAAATGTTTACTTCTGTTATCATTTCCAAAGAACATGTGTTTGTCATCATAAACATTTCAAAGAATGCGAAACAGCACTCCTCCACAGTCAGCACATTTCCCCAGAAAGCTGAATAAATGTTTCCTAACATCTTTCAGTATAAGTTTTAAATTTTTTCTTGTATGAGATCTGTCTACTTGTCTTTTCTTTTATTCCTAAGGTCAAATAAAAATTTTGACCTTAGATTTTATTAGATCTTAAATGAAAGACTTTTTGGAAATATTTTAAATAATTTTACTTCATAAAATTAGCCTTTAAAAAAATCAATTACGTTTTCATAAGCTTTACCTTGAGTTCCATTCAATCTTCTTTCTGAAGCTGAGACTATTAAAACCTGAAGAAACTTTTGCTGAAAACCAATCACTTAGAAAGTGGAAAAGAAGCTGAAAAGTGAAAAAGCTGGCAAAAATTGTGCTGATGACCAGTTTGGTGTTGGTGTCCATATTTCTTCAACCTGTTAAGAGAAATGATGACTATCAATTGCTTTAAATTGCTCATGATAATGTATTTTTACTAATTTATTTTAATTTAGCACAAATGTAAGAATACAAAGAAACTATAAAAATTTTAAGCCTTTACCAGTTATTTGTTGTATCGCCTATACCTGTATTTAAAAATAAAAGAAGAAAAAACTCTATTGTCTTAAAGATCTCAATATTATAAATATAACATCATTCTATTCAAAATTATCTAAATCTTAAAGTTTAACAGTAAGAGAATGTAAAGTGCTATAATTGAAGGTGTTCTTTCAGAAATATTTTTAATTAAACTAAGGCCAAATCAGCTGATTTCTCTATAACTCAATTTCACCATTTATAAAATGAGAGAGTTGGTTGGGCAATTTCTAAGAAACAATTAAGTCATAATAGAACTAACATTATCTGCAATAGTAAAACAAAAGATTAATTACATTAAAAAACTGTACAATAAATTTTGTTTTAAATGTTGTTTGTACAGCAGACATTTTTTAAAAAATTTAAATCTTAGGAAGAATAATACTATCTAGCAAAATAACCATATCACTGTTACTGTTTAAATTAGTATTTAACCTTAAAAAATATTCTGTAATCATGAAGAGGAATTTTTTTCCCTCAAATGGCTAATCTTGTAATCAGCTCTCTGTTCTGCTTCTGTAGACACGCTTGCTGCATAGGCCAAAGGGCAGAGTGGTCTCGAAATCACCTGGAAACTCATCCTTCCCTTTGATTGCTGTGCTTGTTTGAACAGATGTATTGTCTTAGTGCCTGTTTGAAAATCTCACGCTCTGTAACTGCCCATAGCCCATTGCAACTCCCGGGGTCTGTAAATCAGCCCACGCCAACTGTAACAACGTGGGTATAAAAGCAAAATTGCCCCTAATTTTTCAGAGCACAAGCTCTTTTGGGACCACAGGTGTAAAAATCCTGAGTTCTCCAAACCCTCCGAGTGCTGCTTGGTTTCTTGCTGATCTGAGTTTTGCAATTTTTCTGCAACATTTCTGGAGTCCCCAGCGAGATTCTCAACCACACCCGCCTGCCGGACTGGTGGCTGGGCCAGGCCGGGGAAGAGGGGCTCCGAGATGAACGGGGAGGCGTGCCACCTGACGGTATTCCAGGTTCTCTTTCTGACCGGCGCTCCTACTCTCCAGATGGCTGAGCCTCCAACCAGACTCATAGGAGGGATGGACTAACTCACCAGGAAAGGCCACAGGATAAGGTAAGGCCCCGGCCCTAGCCCTCCTAGTCAGGTCCTGTCTCCGGATGGAAGAGGAGCTTGATCACCACCTAGTCTTCAGTTTGAAGACACAGGTCAGGGTCTTCCCAGTGGGGGAAGACATCAGGGTCTTCCAAAGGCGAGGAAGACATAGCTCAGGGCCTTCCAAAAGTGGGGAGGCAATGTTTTAACCTGTTGTGTGAATGAGTGAATGAATGAGCGGCCTGAACGGTTTGATCGGTCAGGTACGAGTTTGTGGCTCCATGGCTGGGCACCCTTAACGTCCCCTAAAGGCTACAGAGTCCGTGTGGGCTCATTCTGTGGTTCCGTGGCATCTGGCATACAGTCCAGGGTGGCACTGGACTAGTGTCCGATGATAAGTCACAAAGCTGAGTCCGCTACGGCCAAGTATCACCTAAGCTCCTTCGGGACGCGGCCAGATGAACATCTGAATGGTCTCCTCTTTGGAGGGGGCACCCATCCTTTGTTTGTCTTCGCGTCACAATCACAGGGTGGGATACACGGCGGGGTCACGGCGGGGGTGGGGGGGGGGTGCAATTAACTACTGAATTGACTTAAGAATTGTCTATCTCCAAACAGCCCTTGTTACATAGGGGCTCTCTGCCAATTATTTTCTTAAAATTTTAAGGTCTATTTTCCTCCTTGGGAAGCTCCCTAAGGCAAATATGGGAGGAGGTACCTCTAAGCCAACTGTGTTAAACTGTATGTTGAAAATTTTTAAGAAAGGCTTCTCAGAGGATTATGGGGTCAAGCTGACCCCAGGAAAACTTCATACTCTTTGTGAGCTTTCGGGGTAGGATGGCCTTCAGAAAGGACCTTAGACCTCCCCACTGTTATAGCTGTGTACCAGGTAGTGACAGGGACCCCTGGACATCCAGAACAGTTTCCGTACATAGACTCATGGTTGCAAATCGCTTCTGTAGTGCCCCCTTGGGCCCTGTTCTGAACGAGTAGGCAGGGACAGAGTAAGGTACTAGTAGCCCGAGCAAAAGAACAAGGAAAAGCCAACAAAAATTGTCCACCAAGGGGACCCTGGGGAAGAACCTTTCTTCCCACTGTCGTATATCCCAGCAGCTCCGCCAGTCTCCACACAGCACAGTCTACCCGCAACTTCACCATCAGTGCCTTCGCCGCCCCCACAGCCCGAGCGATCCTCACACCTGAGTCCACAGCGCCTTCACTTGGCCACGCAACCAGCTCAGCAATCTACGGCCCTTCAGATGCCCCTCCGAGAGGCACGAGGTCCCTTTGAGATTGGAGAAGATGGCACACTCCAGCCAGGCCACCCTGTCCTCTACTATCAGACATTTAGCACAATCGACCTCTTCAGCTGGAAGCAGCACACCCCGTCCTATTCGGAGAAAGCCCAGGCGATGACTGACCTGCTCGAGACCATATTCCAAACTCATCAGCCTACTTCGGACGACTGCCGCCAACTCCTAACTCTCTTCAATACCAAAGAACGACACCGGGTTCTGTCAGAAGCGTGGGGATGGCTCCAAGGACAAGCACCGGACAGTGTACTAGACCCTGCAGCATGGGCCTCAGGGGCTGTGCTAGATGCCAGGCCCAACTGGGACTTCAACATCCCAAATGGAAGAGAGTCTCTCAGCAGGTACTGGCAGGCCATACTGCAGGAGGTAAAAGCTGGGGCTAAAAAGCCGACAAATGTGTAAAAAATGGCAAAAGTACTCCAGAAGCCAGAGGAGTCACCCACAGAGTTTTACGAGAGACTGTGCGAAGCATTCCGGGTGTATACCCCTTTTGACCCCAAAGCACAAGAAAACCAATGCATGGTCAATGTAGCATTTGTGGCTCAATCTTACGCTGCAAGCTTCAGAAATTGGAGGGCTTTGCTGGGATAACAACAGCCAGCTACTGGAGATCACAAGCAGGGTGTTTGTGAACTACGACCAGGAGGCCCAAAAGATAGCTAATAAGCTGATGAAACAAAAAGTGTCTCTCCTGGCAGCAGCATTAGGGAACCCAGGCCCGGTGCAGCAGGCTGCTGCTCCCTCACGGAAAAGAGAAACCAAAAGGAGACCACCACTACGCTGTGACCAGTGCGCCTACTGCAAAGAGACTGGCCATTGGAAGAATCAGTGCCCCCACCGTGGGAGATGCCTGAAGGGCCAAAGACATTCCATCAACCTGGTAAAGGAAAGTACCAGCCTGAGCCAGTCCAAGACCTTATCGGCCTGGCCGAAGCACAGTCAAACTAGGGGCGGCCGGGTTCCCTGATCCTAGGCCCCTGGGAGCCTACAGTTGCAATAGAAGTAGGGGGCCAATGACTTTCATGGTAAACACTGGGGCTGAACACTCTGTAGTAACCACACCTATGGCTCCCCTTGCAGACTGAACAGCAACTGTCGTTGGGGCTACAGGGGACCAAATCCCCTGCTTGTTCTGTAAAGCCCACTCATGTCAGCTAGGGGGCCACCCAGTGACTCGAGTTCCTGTGCCTACCAGAGTGCCCCATTCCTCTTCTAGGTAAAGACATTAACAAAGCTTGGAGTTCAAATCACTTTTGCCCCTGGGAAGCCCACCAATCTCACACTGAAGATCCAGCCTGCTCTAATAATGGCTGTGACTGTGCCCAGGGGGGAGAAATGGCGCCCCTATTCTCCGGAAAGAGAACAAACAAATCCAACCAGTCTGTTAGAAGAGTTCTCTACTGTCTGGGCAGAGAAAGGGCCCCCAGGTCTAGCCAAAAATCACGCACCCATCATGGTAGACCCGAGGCCAGGAGCCACTTCTGTTACACAAAGGCAATATCCAGTGCCATGCTTGGGAATTCAGGACCATATCCAGCGTTTGCACGACACCGGAATTCTAGTTGAGTGTCAGTCACCTTGGAACACTCCACTCTTACCAGTCAAGAAGCCTGGAGGGAACGACTATCGCCCCATCCAGGACCTCCACATCGTCAACAACGCAGTGGTCACCATCCATCCATTGGTCCCAAACTCACACATCCTCCTGAGTCTCTTACCTGACCATGCAAGCTGGTTCACTAGCTTAGATTTCAATGATGCCTTCTTCTGTCTCCAGTTATCACTTGCCAGCCAGTCTTTGTTTGCCTTTGAGTGGGAAGACCCACACACTGGGAGAAAAATGCAATTGACTTGGACCTGACTGCTTCAAGAACTCACCCACCCTGTTTGGTGAAGCATTGGCCGCAGAGCTTGCTGCCTTCTCTGAAGAGACTTTGAACTGCACTCTGCTCCAGTACGTAGATGACCTGTTGCTGGCTAGCCTCCCCGCCCAAAGAGACTGCTGGAAAGGTATTAGAGCCTTGCTGCCCCTGCTCTCTTCCATGGGATACAAGGTGTCATGGAAGAAGGCTCAAATCTGCAAACAGGAGGTCAGATACCTCAGGTTCATCATCGCAGAAGGACATTGGGCAATTGGACATGAGGAGAAGTTGGCCATCTGTTCAACACCTCAGCCAAATATTAAGAAAGGGGTCCGTGAATGTCTAGGGGCAGCCGGATCTGGATACCACGTTGCTCTGAAATTGCCAGGCCACTGTATGAGGCCACAGCTGGGTCTAGTAAAGACCCCCTGGAATAGGGCTCCAGATAAGAAAATACCTTCAGAGAAATAGAGAGACTTTTGATCAGTGCCCTAGCATTAGGACTGCCGGATGTGACACGAGACTTTAACCTCTTCACACACAAGAAGAATCATACTGCACTGGGGGTCCTCACACAGTCGGGCCATGGCAGCGCCCAACTGCAT